TCCACGACACGACCCGTTAAGATATCGGATATGACACAAAAATGACACGAACACAGAAAACACAACACGAATGTCAGGTCTATCTCCAATGGAATACACAAATAAGTAGCCAACCTCGTTTTTATGGTCTGTATACGCAAAATCAAGCTCCAACTAAGTAGACAAACTTTGACTACTCTCAAAGCAGGCAACATTACCTGCAGGCTGCAATATCATATGTAAGAAAACTGGAACCCACAGCCCTTTTTATAATAAAGTACTTTTACGTGGAGAAAGATAACAAAACTCAAAGATAAAAGTAATGGAAGATTATTCAAATTAATTTTAATACATGAAGCTTCAACAGGATGGATTACCTAACTCCTAAACCAGTAAAACTTAATCACTAACCATAACACTTGTTGCTAAATATCTTCACAACTAAAAACTGACTAGGTGTCAGTTTAGCGACACTTTTTCTCCCAATGTTGAAAGAGATCTCAAGTTCAAATCCTCCTCCAAATTAATCAAAAAAGAAACTATCGAATTTCCCACTTGGAAGCAAATTATACTGTTTTTACAAAATCCCAGAGCAAAACATTGATGATGCACCAAGAGAAGAGAGGTTACAAAAAAAGTTCAAAAAAAAGAAAAAGAAAAAAGTAGAATTGCAAGCAAAAGGGAAAAAAGAATACACTACTACATCTCTACTAGCTTTCCTTTTTTTCTTCACCAGTCCACTAAGTTTTCATTGCAAGAAGAATTTTCTCTGGGTTAAAAGGCTCTCGTGATCCATAATTTGGCTCTTCCACCTCATTCTGTTGGTAATTGCCTTTATTTTCACTAGGATCTCTACTGTATCCCTAAACACAACTGTTCCTTCCAGCCTCAGAATCCTATCCATCTCCAGCAAAATGAGTGTTCTGTCACACCAGCAATGTACGAGCTACATTAGGCCTCAAAGTTGCGAAATTTGAGTACTAAGTGCAAATTATCGCGGAATGAGTTTTTACCTGTCCTGATATATGCTGAAGACTCCACCAGCGTGGATGAGATCGTATGTTCTAGGATACGTTGAGAAAGCCTCACACCCGTCCTGGTATGTTCCAATAAAACCACGTTCGTAAATCATACCAAGAGTGTCCTGGTTTGAGTTAGCAAGGACGGTGTTCATAACCCACGCTGGATATTTTGACAATGCTGCAGCAAATCCACCGAGGGAAGCATTCATGTCCATCACATTCCGATATCTTCCTTTGGAAATTGGTACGATCCTCTTGTAATGTACCACCCTTTCTTTCCACAGTTGATTATCCTCACGGAGTTTCTCAGCTGTGATTCCTGGTATTGAACCACTGCTGATTCTAGGAGGGACAGCAAACGCACATTCAGGCCACTTCTCTAACGCCCCACCAGCAGCGTCATTAGGATCGCTTGTCTCCAGTAGAGGAGTAATGCAACTCTCCATATCTCTTTCCCTTTTAAGCACAAAACATGCCACATTAAGCAGAGTTAAGTACAGGAGAATTCGCATTCCAAATCAAATGAACAAAAACACGAACAAAGCACAGGGAGTAGTACCAAGCCATATCTGGATTGTCAGATTTGCATATATGTGGTGTTTTATACACGTTCCTGCTTTTAACGCATTCAACGTGATTGATAGGGTTTTGCCAGATTGCAAGATCATTCTTCTCGATCACCTTCTTCCAGCACAGGCGCTTTGCAACAGACTCAATAGAATCTTGCTCTTGCTTCAACTCCTCTTGAGTTCTCTCCCATCCCCTCCAGTGTTTTTTCCAGTTAATAGGCGGCCCGGAGAGAATCCAATAACCACCAGGCCTTAGAACTCTGTCCACTTCAATGAGATACATACCATCTGCAAAAATAGTCCAAAATAAAATCTACATGCATTCAAAACCACATCATATGAAATTAGTGGTGAATTTTACTTCAATATTTTAAGCCTAAGCGTAGAAGATCCTCACTAATTATTATCTAATCCAATATTTAGATGAAGTTGTTAGGTGAAGAAGTTTGGTACATAAATACATACTTATATATACACACACATGCCTGTTTTGAAGTATGCAGCTCCAAAAACTTCAAATCAAGTAATGAGAGATAGTTTAATATGTTGAAGCAAACTAGAAAGAAAGTCAGAGACACTTTACCATAGTTCATCCAAGGGATCAAGGGTAGGGAAGCCTCTTCGAAGCCATGACACCAATCATAGCGGGAACTCCGCGCTCCAATGCAAACTGAACCTGCACTGCATGCGTATCTCTCGGTGCAAAAGACATTGTCATGATGTCCCTCTTCAATAGGTGCGCACCCCAAGTGGCTACCTAAATACCCAAACAGGAAAGTGCATCAGAATTTACGAGCAATATAGGAGTGTGAATCAATTATACATATATACACATCTACGCACATATATATGTGCTACTTACACCACAGCCGGTATTAATTGTGGTTCTGATGTTGCCCTTAGTGAGAGGAATGAGCGCGTTAATGTCATCTATGTACTCATCAGCTCCTCTCATAAACATGGTACCTCGATATGATTTGATCCCTTCAATCGAAACAATCAATCCCCTCCTCCAACTCCCGCGGTCCACCCAAAATGTTTATATAATTTTTACGGAGTTTATTGGTTTTTTGGTTTGGGGAACATGACCCAACTGGGGTTATTCTCACACCCAACTGGGGTGCCATTCCAGTACAATCACGTCCAGGCTAAGCTAAGCCCTCTCATTATGTGGGCCTCCACCACTATATGTGATTGTTTGGGTCCATCATCTACTAATAAAGCTTGAAGCCTTGAAACAGAACCTTGAATAAATGAATAAATATTACTTCAACCACAAGTCTTGTAAGTTACATATTTAAAGTCTTAATATCTACTTAGGCTAATGGCTCCTAAAGTCAAATCTCGGATATTATAAGTTAACACTATTAACCATTAACCACATGATTCGGACGTGAATTAAGAGTTTGTTGAGAATGAATTTTACATTTATAGGATAATGGACCGTACGTAAACTTATAAAGGGCGTTTTTTTGCCTTCTTTAGGTCATCTCTAATCAAATGAGGGCCAAATGGCTCCTTTTAGCCATATAGCCCTCCAAGAAATTAATATTTTAATGAACAGTGTCAGGCTATATTTCTCACCATCTCTAACCGAGGGGCCAAAATATAGCCCTGTGATAAAAAACCATCTTCAACCGAGGGGGCCAAAGGGTCATAGGCCAAACATAATTTATTATTTAAATTTAAAGACTACACCAACTAAAATTTGAAAACTATAACTTAAATTTAAAAACTACAACAACTTAAATTTAAAGTCTATAATCATCATCATCATCAGCATCATCATCTGCCATTGTAGGATTATGATCGGATGTAAACAACTCTTGCCGGGCCATAATTTCTCTCTTTTTCCTATCAAAATATGTCTTACTCATTGGAGTGTAATCCGAAGTGTTCCTTTACATGTTCCTATCATCCATCCCATCTTGAATTTGTTTTACCCGTTCTTTGTGCCTACGATTCCTTTTTTCCACAGCAAAGCAATTTTGGTCCGTCATTAATTGCAATGAGGACGCCATTTCCTATTGAAAGGCGTAATCATCCTTTGCCTTGCCATTTTCCTTCAATTTTTAGGCCTTGTTTCATCTCATAACCCTAGGTATGGAACCTTCACCCGAAGACGGATTTTATACCCTTGTTTCTTGAACGGTAGGAGATCCATGTTCATCCCCAACTGCATTTGAGGATGCATTTCCGAACATCGGTATAGGACCAACTCTTTCTTTAGGTGGATCTTCAAATAGCACCCATCCTTTACAAATTTCCCAACAACTATGATGATTAAAGGGTTTCAAGTTGTCTTCCATATACAATTCCTCCGCTTGGTGTATCTAGAAAATATAATTACAAAAATTAAATGAAAATAATTTATGAAATTAAATGTAATATAATTAAATATTTAAAATAACTTGTGAAAACACTTACTTCATCGTAATAATTGGATCCACTTTTATGTCTGCTTTCAGCCTTTAACACTGCTTGATGTCATTTATTCAAACTTGGATGAAGATTTTTTTTCCGTCTTGAAGTACAACTCTCGTGATTTCGGGAATTCAATGGAGTGGTGCCTTCGTAGAACTCATAGTACTTTTTGGACATACGAGTCCAAACACCTTCACTTGTTTGCGAACTCCCCCTCACACTATCTCTTGAGATTCATCTATAAGCCCTGCAAAGAGCTTCATCTTCTTTTCGAGTCTAAGTCTTGAATTTCAACGCATATCCAACCATTTGAAAATTATTGAAAAAACTGAAGGAAAGATTATTGGAAGAGATAAAAGAATAGAATATGAAGAATTGAAATAAAATGAAGATAGTATAGAATGATGAAAATTATGTGAGAAATGATGTAGGAATGACTTAGATGTTTATAGAAAAAAATAAGAATTTTTTAATATATATATTTTTTAATTTTGTTCGAAAAAAAAATTTCAAATCCAACGGCCACCTGGCATCATGCTGACGCCAGGTAGCCGTTGGATTCAAAAAGTGGGCCGACCCGAGGCAAGCTAGCTAGCTCCTTTGGGCCAATCGATGGGTCAGATTTGGTATTTTTGGCCCGGTGGGGCCTACGAGCCCTTTGGCCTAACCCTTGATTGGAGGCGGTTTTCAGTTCATTTCTGGCTATTTTTGGCCCTATTACCCTCTATCCGGCTCAGTTGGAGATGGCCTTTAGCTCTCATTGAATTGGATTGGATTAAAGATTTAGTGCAATCCATGTTTGTTTGCTTGTGGGACTAACTTTTTGTTTTTTTCTGTTTTTGTTCTTTTGAACCGATATTATCTACACTAAGAGCAAGGAAGCGTGCCTAACCTCACAATAGACCATCAATAAAGTACTTTTACGTGGAGAAAATTGGATCCCACATCTCTTTTTATAATAAAGTACTTTTACGTGGAGAAAGATAATTAAACTAAATGATAAAAGTAAAGAAGAAGATTATTCAAATTAATTTTAACATTATGAAGCTTCAACAGATGGATTCCCCAACTCCTAAGCCAGTAAGGCTAATTACTAACCACCAACACTTGTTGCTAAATATCTTCACAAGTAAAAACTGACTAGCTCTAAATTTAACGACACTTTTCCTCTCAATATTGAAAGAAATCTCAAGTTCAAATCCTCCACTGATTGATCAAAAGAAGAAACTATCCAATTTCCCACTTGGAAGCAGATTATACTGTTTTTACAAAATCCCAGAGTAAAACATTGATCATGCACCAAGAGAAGAGAGGTTAAGAACAAAAGTTAAAAAATAAATAAAAAGGAAGAAAAATTAGAATTGCAAGCAAAAGGGAAAGAAGAATACACTGCTACATCTCTACTAGCTTTCCTTCTTTTCTTCACCAGTCCAGTAAGTTTTCACTGCAAGAAGAATTTTCTCTGGGTTGAAAGGTCCGCTCTCGTGATCCATAATCTGGCTCTTCCACCTCATTCCGTCTGTAATTGCCTTTATCTTCACCAGGATCTCTACTGTATCCCTAAACACAACTGTTCCTTCCGGCCGCAGAATCCTATCCATCTCCAGCAAAATGAGTGTTATGTCACACCTGCAATGTACAAACCACATTAGGCCTCAAAGTCGCGAAATTCGAACACCAAGTGCAAATTATTACAGAATGAGTTTTTACCTGTCCTGATATATGCTGAAGATCCCACCAGCGTGGATGAGATCGTATGTTCTAGGGTACGTTGAGAAAGCCTCACACCAGTCCTGGTATGTTCCAATAAAACCCCGTTCGTAAATTACACCAAGGGTGTCCTGGTTTGAGTTGGCAGGGACGGTGTTCATAACCCACACTGGATATTTTGACAATGCTGCAGCAAATCCACCGAGGTAAGCATTCATGTCCATCACATTCCGATATCTTCCTTTGGAAATTGGTACAATCCTCTTGTAATGTACCACCCTTTCCTTCCACAGTTGATTATCCTCACGGAGTTTCTCAGCTGTGATTCCTGGTATTGAACCACTGCTGATTCTAGGAGGGACAGCAAATGCACGTTCAGGCCACTTCTCTAACGCCCCACCAGCAACGTCATTAGGATCGCTTGTCTCCGGTAGAGGAGTAATGCAACTCTCCATGTCTCTTTCCCTTTTAAGCACAAAACATGCCACATTAAGCAGAGTTAAGTACAGGAGAATTCGCATTCCAAATCAAATGAACAAAAACACGAATGAAGCACAGGGAGTAGTACCAAGCCATATCTGGATTGTCAGATTTGCATATATGTGGTGTTTTATACACGTTCCTGCTCTTAACGCATTCGACGTGATTGATAGGTTTTTGCCAGATTGCAAGATCATTCTTCTCGATCACCTTCTTCCAGCACAGGCGCTTTGCAACAGACTCAATAGAATCTTGCTCTTGCTTCAAATCCTCTTGAGTTCTCTCCCATCCCCTCCAGTGTGTTTTCCAGTTAATAGGTGGCCCGGAGAGAATCCAATAACCACCAGGCCTTAGAACTCTGTCCACTTCGATGAGATACATACCATCTGCAAAAATAGTCCAAAATAAAATCTACATGCATTCAAAACCACATCATATGAATTTAGTGGTGAATTTTACTTCAACATTTTAAGCCTAAGCGTAGTAGATCCTCACTAATTATTTTCTAATCCAATATTTAGATGAAGTTGTTAGGTGAAGAGGTTTGAATAGATACATACATACATATATATACACACATACATGCATATTTTGAAGTATGCAGCTCCAAAAACTTCAACTCAAAGTAATGTGAGATAGTCTAATATGTTGAAGCAAACTAGAAAGAGGGACAGAGACACTTTACCATAGTTCATCCAAGGGATCAAGCAGCGGGAACAGTGAGCCATATCGAAAGCCCTTGCAGGGTAGGGAAGCCTCTTCGAAGCCATGACACCAATCATAGCGGGAACACCACGCTCCAATGCAAACTGAACCTGCGCTGCATGCGAATCTCTCGGTGCAAAAGACATTGTCACGATGTCCCTCTTCAACAGGTAAGCACCCCAACTGGCTACCTAAATACGCAAAACAAGTGTACCAAAATTTACTAGCAATATAGGAGTGTGAATCAATTATACATATATACACATCTATGCACATATATGTGCTACTTACACCACAGCCGGTATCAATTGCAGTTCTGATGTTGCCCTTAGTTAAAGGAATGAGTGCGTTAATGTCATCTATGTATGCATCAGCGCCCCTCGGAAACATGGTACCTCCCCCGGGGAATCTAAACCTGTCACCCTCGACTTGAATCCAATTCTGGACAGCTTTCTCAATGCTGAGTTCTCTATGGGGAATGTTGTCATACCAAGCAAAATCACGACTCTGAGGCCACTTGAAAGGAGTCTTATACTTTGGCGGAGCAGGAATAAGGCAAAGAAGTTGTTCTTCTTTGGTAGGGCAGTGCCTCTCTCTGTATTTCAACATTTTCCTGTCAAATTTCCTCCCCCTTCTTGGATCCTGGCATGGAGTGTACTCGCTGTAGGACATGTCACACGGTGAGAACCTTTGAACGGCCTCGGTTTTGTTGACGTCCACTTGATGATGGCTTTCGAAGTCCAAGCGAAGCGGTGATGATGATACGGGTGAGGAGGTTTTGTTCCCGGATTGAGATGACGTTTCATCACAACCAACCCTTTGGTAGAGCTCAGATCGATTGACAGGGGCAGAAGTGGTTTGCCAAGCTCCTAACAAGTAACATGCTATGCAGAGCGCAAAAATCCCGAAGATCCAAGGGAGCCTCTTCTTCTTGGATTCTACGTGGTGGTGCTTTGGCGGTCCACCACTAAAATCCCTGGCCATTTTATTCTTTCTGCAAAAAGTTTCAATTCGAACGAAAACATCAAGAATTTCACGCCTTTTTCACAAATCACAAGTCCCAACTTAATAACCATTTATAACTCATCAAGAGATTCAATCTTTATTCATAAATTATAAACACCACATAAAAAAAAAATACATAAATCAGAACATTAAGATCACATGCTGTAACTATCAACCAAATAGGTAAGGACTCAATCTTTATTCATAAATCAGAAACCCCACACCGATAAAAACTTATATATCAACTTGGAAACACAAATTAAGCAAAAATTGAAAATTTTCGCAAAGCAAGAACAAGATCCAATTACTTGGAAGGCTAAGAGATCCCATTAAACAAAACATAAACATAAATATTATGGAAATGGAAGGACAAAGAAAAGAAATGCAATCAGAAACGTACCTATTTCCAGCAACAGAAGTTTGAAGCTGCAAATAAAACAAGGTACTCAGTACCCCACAGTTCTCTCAAAATCTTTAAAGAAACTCCACTGAAGTCTGAATCTTTCTTTTTTCCATTTTTTATTTATTCTTTGCTTGTTTCTTTTTCCCAAATTTTGTTAGTCAAAAAAACACAACAAGCCCATCAAATCCACGGGAAGCAGCCAAAGGTTTGTACTCAGAAGCAGTATCTGCAAATGGGTAACTTGTACTTCTCCACAGAAAGAAAAAGCTTCTAAAGTAGAAAGTGCTTTTTTTTTTTTACCAGATGTGATAACAATATCAGCCGGCTATCGCTGTGGACCTTTCTGACCTCCCCCAGTACAAATAATACCTCCAAAAGAACTTCACAACTGCAGAAACCAAAAGGGTAATTTCAAGTGGTATTTGTTTAATCAGAAAGATTAAAAATTGGAAAGAGGAGGCAGAAAAGGTTATATAGTAAGAGTATGAAACATGGAAGGAAAGAGGGCAACTTTAGAAGGGACCTCCACGAATACAGGAAGAGGGTAAGTGATGAATGGGGAGTGCAGGCAATAATCTTTGTTTGTTAATCATGTTTTGTTTATTTTTAATGAAATGGGGAAGTGAAATAACAAGGAATTGCAGTGAGTGCAGAGAGATTTAGAGAGAGAAAGGGAGGATAGAGAGAGAGAGAGAGAGAGAGAGAGAGAGATGGAGGAGTTGTGATTGGGTGTTTGGTTGTTTGACCTAAAAATAGAGAGGAGGAGTAGAGGAAACTGAGACTAGTGCGGCCTTCTCAGATGAGAGGGAGACTGACCAGCCTCAAATTGCTCCTCACCATCTCACTAAACCTGCATTTTTTTTCAAATAATTTGTTAAGAAAAACAAAAGTAAAATATTTATATTTTTTTTGCAAGTGGTCATTTACAGGTGGAAAAATATTAAGCCTTTACATAATAGTATAGGTCTAAAATGTATCGATACTTAATCTAACGTTTAATCTAAGAAAATTAATAGTTTGGACAAAAAAAAAAACTTTATATTTTCCATTTTTGTTTAATTTAATTACCAACTTTCTAAGTTACTATTTATAATAATCCAAACAACACTTAAAAACCAGTTTTCCGAAAGAAAAAAAACACCACCTAAAAACCACTGACAGACTGACATAGGTGTTGCTTGTTTAAATTAACTCTGTGGTCCTATGAAAGTACAAACATTTTTTTATGTTATTTTATGGTTTCATTTGGTACATAGTTTATGATTTTTTCACATCCTTCTGTGCAATATGAACACAGTTTAATTTAATCTGGGGTTACATCAAATTTCTAAACACTCCAACCATTTCACATCCCAAATTCCGATTTGCGTCCTGAAAGAGAGATTCATTTGGCATCCCAATATGGTATTACATTTTTCATTTTCTTTGACAAGAAAAAAAATCCAATCTCGAAGCATCTAAACAATTTTTGAATAAGTAAAAACTTATAACCCAAGTGATTAAAAATATATAGTTGCATCAGAAGAAGTTTAACTCCCGCATCTCCAATTGTCGTTTAATTCTAGCATCTCCAATTGTCGTTGTAGAGTAGCATTCATGAGAGTTGCAAGGGTTAGAAAAACTAAATTTGTAAACAAAAATTTCATAATTAAAGGATATGAAAGTTGATGATTGATTTATTACTTACGCGTTGATAAACGTCCTTATTTCTATTATTGATACACCATTTAGTTTACAAATTTAATCTCCCTAGAATTACCATTTCTCAATGGTTGGAGATTTGCACTCAAAATCGTCACACAATACAAAAAAACATGAACGTGCAAAAAACATAACACAATAAATAAGTAGGTGCAAATTGCGAAGAAATGATGGATTGATGACGCTGAGAGCATCTCCAAAGAAGATATCAAATATGGTATGTCGAAATTTTATTTGATGGTCGATGTGACAAATTGAATACAAGTGCTAAATTCTCTTCTTTTCCAATAAAGGTGTCAAATATTTATTTTATTATTTTATTGGGCCTAGAGTTACATTAACTATTAAAAATATAATCAATATTAGTTTTAGTTTTAAATGGGACTCATGCATTAAAAATTAAATTTAATATATTTAACTCCTTCTTTGTTTGCTGTCAAAAAAGGCAATTAGAAAACAAGGGAATTGGATCCTCTCCGAAGCAATGCCTCGGATCTTACTGACCGGACAATATGGGATGTTGGATTTTGATCCAACGACTACAATTATTATAATTTTTAGAGGGATCCCTGTTTGTAGCCGTTAGATCAAAATCCAATTGCCCATGTTGCCCAATCAGTAGGATCCGGAGGCATTGCCTCGGAGATGATCCAATTCTGAAAACAAGGAGTTAAATGACTCGCATGCCACATCATATATGGCATATACATTGAAGAACACTTAAATATCTTTTAATCCTATTTGACATATTTGATATCTCATTTAAAGATGGTCTGAGAGCGACAAACAGTGAGCCAAATTTGCAAAAAGAAATCACGTGACATTGAGGTGGGGCAAGTATTTATGTTTGTGCAGTGACCTCACTAAAAGAAAGCCAAACCGTGGCATTATACGTAAAACGATGTGAAAGAGTTCCGACAACACACATTTAAAAGGTTATATAGTAAGAGTATGAAACATGGAAGGAAAGAGGACAACTTTAGAAGGGACCTCCACGAATACAGGAAGAGGGTAAGTGATGAATTGGGAGTGCAGGCAATAATCTTTGTTTGTTAATCATGTTTTGTTTATTTTTAATGAAATGGGGAAAGTGAAATAACAAGGAATTGCAGTGAGTGCAGAGAGATTTAGAGAGAGAAAGGGAGGATAGAGAGAGAGAGAGAGAGAGAGAGAGAGATGGAGGAGTTGTGATTGGGTGTTTGGTTGTTTGACCTAAAAGTAGAGAGGAGGAGTAGAGGAAACTGAGACTAGTGCGGCCTTCTCAGATGAGAGGGAGACTGACCAGCCTCAAATTGCTCCTCACCATCTCACTAAACCTGCATTTTTTTTTCAAATAATTTGTTAAGAAAAACAAAAGTAAAATATTTATATTTTTTTTGCAAGGGGTCATTTACAGTAGAAAAATGTTGAGCCCTTACATGACAGTATAGATCTAAACTGTATAGGTACTTAATCTAACAAAATTAATCATCTGACAAAAAAAAAAATTATATTTTCCATTTTTGTTTAATTTAATTACCAACTTTCTAAGTTACTATTTATAATAATCCAAACAACACTTAAAAACCAGTTTTCCAAAAAAAGACACCACCTAAAGACCACTGACAGACTGACATTGGTGTTGCTTGTTTAAATTAACTCTGTGATCCTATGAAAATACAAACATTTTTTTATGTTATTTTATGATTTCATTTGTTACATGGTTTATGATTTTTTCACATCCTTCTGTGCAACATGAACACAGTTTAATTTAATCTGGGGTTACATCAAATTTCTAAACACTCCAACCATTTCACATCCCAAATTCCGATTTGCGTCCTGAAAGAGAGATTCATTTGGCATCCCAATATGGTATTATATTTTTCATTTTCTTTGACAAGAAAAAAAATCCAATCTCGAAGCACCTAAACAATTTTTGAATAAGTAAAAACTTATAACCCAAAGTGATTAAAAATATATATTTGCATCAGAAGAAGTTTAACTCGCGCATCTCCAATTGTTGTTGTAGAGTAGCAGTCATGAGAGTTGCAAGGGTAGATAATGTTAGAAAAACAAAAATTGTAAACAAAAATTTGATAATTAAAGGATATGAAAGTTGATGATTGATTTATTATTTACGCGTTGATAAACATCCTTATTTCTATTAGTAATACATCATTTAGTTTGCAAATTTAGTCTCCCTAGCATTACCTTTTCTCAATGGTTGGAGATTTGCACTCAAAATCGTCACATAATACAAAAAAACATGGACGTGCAAAAAACATAACACAATAAATAAGTAGGTGCAAATTGCAAAGAAATGATGGATTAATGACGCTGAGAGCATCTCCAAAAAAGATATCAAATATGGTATGTCGAAATTTTATTTGATGGCCGATGTGACAAATTGAATACAAGTGCTAAATTCTCTTCTTTTCCAATAGAGGTGTCAAATATTTATTTTATTATTTTATTGGGCCTAGAGTTACATTAACTATTAAAAAAATAATCAAAATTAGTTTTAGTTTTTATTCTATTGGTTGTAAATGGGACTCATGCATTAAAAATTAAATTTAATATATTTAACTCCTTCTTTGTTTGCTGTCAAAAAAGGCAGTTAGAAAACAAGGAAATTGGATCCGCTCTGAGGCAATGCCTCAGATCCTACTGACCGAACAATATGGGTTGTTGGATTTTGATCCAACGACTACAATAATTATAACTTTTAGAGGGATCCCTGTTTGTAGCCGCTAGATCAAAATCCAATGGTCCATGTTGCTCAGTCCAGTAGGATCTGGAGGCATTGCCTCGGAGATGATCCAATTCTGAAAACAAGGAGTCAAATGACTCGCATACCACATCATATATGACATATCCATTGAAGAACACTTAAATATCTTTTAATCCTATTTGACATATTTGATATCTCATTTAAAGATGGTCTGAAAGTGACAAACAGTGAGCCAAATTTGCAAAAAGAAATCACGTGACACTAAGGTGGGGCAAGTATTTATGTTTGTGCAATGACCTCACTAAAAGGAAGCCAAATCGTGACATTATTCGTAAAACGATGTGAAAGAGTTCCGACAACACACATTTAAATGTATTTATCATTGGTGTTGTCGAACACTTTCGACAACATTCATCAAACATTGTGGTACATATTGAGGAAACATTAGCAAAATACGTTAAAAAATGTCATGTACAATATTTACAACGGCTTTCGAACGCTGTAGATGTATATTTTTTTAGAAGTTGTTGACTCTAAAAATTACAAAATCTACGTGGCGTGCAAGTCGAATAATTAATAAGCTAACTACGTCTTTCGGTTGAATGCGGGGCGTGCCAATTCGTCGGCCGAGGAGTAAAATTCGTTGATGTCGCATTGAGCGCGTTGTTGACTTCTTTATCTTGCGACTGCGACCGCGACCGAGGAAGGAACACTTTCGGTCTTTGGGTTCTAGAGCCTGAAGACAAGGCTACTGGTTCTACGAAGTTCACAAATCGTCGGCGCCCGATTTGGTCACCGTGATTATATTTGTAAGAATATAAGCACGTCAAATCGACACCAGACTATACGGACACAAATATTCAAAGGTAATGTATGTCTTGATGGTGAACGTGGTTCGACCGTTTGAATGCCGAACTCTAAAACTCACTTGTGAATATCCAATCATAAAATCACTCGGCGTCCGGTATGTCGAATGTCGTAACTCGTAACACCTTACTTCGCCGAGAGGGTTGATAAGATGACCCCTACCAATATGGATTTGAAAACCCTTCTCGACTGAGACTTGGATAGGTAATCAGTCGGTCTCAACGCAGTGTTGTTTATCCAAACTGAAGGTGCTCCTTGGTCGGCTGATTCTACGGCAACAGTGTTGTTTATCCAAACTGAAGGTGTTCGCCGGTTGCCTCCATAGTGTTGTGTATCCAAACTGAAGGTGTGTCGGCAGAAAAAAAAAAAAAAATCTCAAGGTGTTTGAGAGGTTTTGTGCAAAGCAATTATATGTTGAATTGAAGGTCCTTAATTGTTGCATGATTTCTTGTATTTTTAGCACAAACTCCTTGAAATCGAATTAAACCCTATCTGGATTGGGAGTCCTTGCCCCGTTCCAGCTTTGCTTCAAACAACTCTACTCCCATTAGGACTTTGAACTCACCCCCCTTCGGGGCTTCATTCATTGCTGGTCGAGAGTCGTAGTTGCACCAGGACTTCCTCGACCCTCTTTGTTTATCTGGACTACTCCTTCTTGCGATAGAACTCGATCATCCCTGCTAAATGCCCCGGAATCATCAGACAGCCCATAGCATTTTGACACAACTTTGAACCCAGCACAAACCTACAATCGATCTAGCAATATTATTTTGAACCCGAACAGAAGTATATCTGACCTTTGTCATTTTGGGTTAAGCTTGTAATATTAATTTGAGAGGTGGAGAGCACTACGTAGTACATAATTACCACATATATTCAATTTGAGGTCCACTTTTTCACTATCCCATGAATTCGATTGCATTAATATTATCGAAAAAGTAGGAATAAAAATATATGCATGCAAGGCGGTGAGCCTACTTACATATAGGAGAAAAATTAACGTAGGGTAGAAGTTCGTAAGTGAGGATGTTGTGATTTAGGATAACTCTTAAATTATATGAGATCAGTATGAAGTCAAATGAAACTTAAATATAAGGGGTTTTGATGATATTAATTTTTTTTCTTTGAAAAAGAGAATAACTTGTGGCGAATTAAGATTATTCACTCTTTTTGAGTCGGAGGAGGCTAGTTAGGAATTTCACTCTACATGAAGCCACAATCAAACAGATTCATAACTTACAAAATATCAAACTTAAAACCTCTTACTCTTTTCATTAAACTACTTGTCGTGGTTGAGTCGCGATTATATTTGAACATTTAGAGAGAGAAGAGGCATACATTTCATTTGTATGATTATAGAGCTGAGAAGCAGTCAAAGTGGAAAAGTATTCCTATTCTCTCTCTTAAATTTACGTGTTGGACGAACCAACGTGTTGGAAACTGGAAATATGTGGAAGATCTTCGCAATTAAGCAAACGAGTGTAATTTGCATGGTTGCATGTCGCACTCGAATGCATGGAACTACAACAAATATTATATTATTATTCCTTGTTAAAATGTTTGGCCACGTACGTCACGTTCCTTCTAATTTCTTCCTTTCTTGTTTTTTTGGTCAAAAAGCAAATTGATACTTTTGGAGTTTGGTTTACTTTTGCAATCAATAATTTCGGGATAAGGTAGTTATCGTGAAAATCTGCCTCATACTTTATTTCAGTCCTTTTGGATTCACTTATCCTCACAACAACGCCAACTAAATCCTTGATTTCTAAGTTATTTATCCTCACACATAACAGCCACACAACTATTTCTCCAAACCAAACAAATTAGGAAAATGCTCTTAAATCACATAACGATAACAAATAGTCTAGTCATGTCAGTATCATCTTTCTGTCATTTTGGTATGTTGTCATATCGTCCTATTACTGATGGAAACGGTTTCTCTCCGTTTCCTTCCACCAAATAACTTTAACATTTAAATTTTAAGAATTCGAATTAATTGATAGAATGGATCTGATGGAAGAGATTAAGAGGGAATCCTTTTCCATTACTGATGGCTGAAAGTCTCAATAGTCTTGACATGATATTAATTAATAGATAGTATATATGGTGAATTGTGCTTTTGTTTTTGTTTTTTTTAAAGAGGGATAATTGGTAACAAACCATGATTATCCATCATTTTCAGAGATCAGAAAGACTCAAAGAGGCATTTCAGCCTCCCATGCCTACAAGTCTAGCTTCCACACCAACAATGGGTTTTAAACCTGAGACCTCCAATTTTTAGTTTTAAGAAGGCATCGTAATCCGTCATTTACCACTGACCTACCACATTGTGGTTATATCGTGAATCTTTAACTTTTGCTACAATAATAGAGAGATTTGAAAAGACGTTGCTATAATAAAGTGGAAAGCATTTTGCTCACTTCTATAAACTATAATGTATGCTCATCCTATAATCATCTGTCACGTGTCATTTTACTTAATTTTAGTTTTTTTTTAAATTAAAAATAGCATTTAATGTGAAGATTTACTAGAATTAAATAAAAAGATACATGGTAAATAATTAAATGTATGACAAACATATATTATAATTATCATAGTGAGTAAAAATGCCCCCAATGAAGTATCAATAATATCTATTGTCGATTGGTTAGAGGTTCATAGTAAATTATCAACGAAAAGCCCTCAAGATTAGTCCAAATAGCGAAAGGAGGCAATAAAATGAATTCGAATTCAGATAGGTCAAAAGCTCGATTGCAATGCATCTTCCATACGCAGAAAAGAAAAGGAAAAGCATAAATTACATTTTACATCCTTGAGTTTAGATGCAATTGTAACTTCATGCATCTTTAAAATATTTTAATTTTATACATAAACTTATATTTTGTTGCAATTTCATACATTCGTTAGTTAAATCTTATACAACATTTTAAAAATATTTTAATCTTATACATAAACTTATATTTTGTTATAATTTCATACATTCGTTAGTTAAACCGTTAATTTAACCGTTAAATAATGACGTGGTAAATGTATGACCCACCTATTTGATGACATGGCATATAAAAATAATTAATTATAAAAACAATTTAATAAAAATTTAAATTAAAACAAAACAAAAATAGGGCCCACCCCTCTTCTCCCATCCAAGCAAATCCTCCATCTTCATGAGAAATTTTTTAACGTAATCAGTACATGAAATAATTTATTATGTGTCATTAAACAAATAATAAAATATATATATTAAAAAATTAATAATTTAAAAAATAAAATTTTCCACCGTTCCTATCAAACTAAAAGTTTCTCCCAGCTTCAACGCAACCAGCCATCCCATTCTTTCTGAATCACCGACCCCCATCCCATACAACCAGCCTTTTTTTTTTCTGCATCACCATCATCAAAGTTGAAATTTACACAACCAATAATTTGAAAACAAATATGATTCCCAAATCTTGGCACACGGCATGGCGTGGATTGACGCCTTCGACGCCGGTGGCTGACCATCCTTGCCACCCAGCCCTGCAGCAACGATTCCAAATCCGAATATCCTTCATTCAACGGCATGCGTTAATGAGGACGATTCCTTGCCGCGGGGTTCGGCTGTCCGGGTTTTCTCTATCTGGATCTTCCGGTCGAGTGTCGCAGCGGAGGCGGCTGCACCTAAGATTAAGGGCATGAGCACAGAGAGCTCTCGATCTCGACCCCTTCTCATGAGCCAGTCGAAAAAATGAAGTCACAAATCACCATCCAAAGGTCACCCAACGCCGTAGATTTGTTGACACTAAAAACATTAAAACATGGCTTTACTTTGTATGAACTTTCATAATTTAGGGCCGAGAGTAGCTTTCCATACATACGTACATACATACATACATATATACATATATATATATATATATATTTTTTTTTTGCTTGAGGAGCTTTCTATATTTTAATTCAGATAAACCATATAAATAATGTCGTATAACAAATTTAGATCGTTGAAATTTGAAGTGTTATGAGTTCCGCAACTAATCTCCATTTAAAAAAAAAATAGAGATCCATTCCATTAAAATCCTCGTGTGTGTGTGTGTGTGTGTATGCACAGATACAACAATTCTCACCTATTTAGGAATTAGGTCCTATCTAACCCCTTCCATTCCATGCCAAGAAACAAGCACAACAAAAATCAATCTCATATGATCCTCTTAAGAGTCCTCCGTATGCTGCCAGTGCATCTCCGAGATCCCGTGTCACCGTGAAAATGTTGCCTTCAAATGGCAGCATTTTTCCGGTACATCATGTGGCTGTGCAAGGAACTTGATCACAGGGTTGGTATGTACAGCAGGAATATGAAAGTCCACTGAGAACTCACTGGATGCTATTCGCTAACTTCTCGAATTTCTGCACAATTGCATGATGCTTCCTGCTATTGTACAATTGGATTAGCGACCCAATTGTGCTGCATATCATCTCTTTCTTCTGATTCCTGATGGATTTATTATCTTCAAGTTCAGCTTGACTACTTGTTGTCTCTCCTAGTGACAAGCAAAGGGCCTTGAACCAGTCTTCAAGGAATGAGGCTTTCTGTATCTGCAGGAAGAAAAATAAGTCCGAGAACGAAAACACATATTACGCCTCAATGTTTCAAATTATCGATGTTTTGCAGTTTGCACAAACACAGACACCAGATAAAAACCCCAATTGGAAGCAGGTAGTCCGCGAATTCTTTTAAAGAGTATGGACATCTATTCAGCAAACATGAACTACGAACACATGACCATTTTCTTTATCTCCAAGGTAAAAATTGTTATTACGGTTCACTTGGTCACCTTGTGAAAATGATCTAAGGTAACAAATATGTATGCCATGATAAAACCCTGGATGACATCTGAGAAGGATTCTCCATAATCTACAGCAAATCAATAGGCTTCTCTTTTAGTTTCCAGATTATTTGAAGGAATGGTTAAAAAAATCTCATACAAAACACAACGAGCAATATATTCTTCATTTGAGAGTACAATCAAAAGATGCAGTCAACCAATTGAACTGATAATAGTAAAAAATCGAACTTTGGTGGAGACTGATAGCTGATATAGCGTTGTGGAGTTACCAAGGCAAGACACAGAAACAAGAGTAAATCCAACTACATACCAAGTATTGATGCTGGCACGGCCAAAGCACAAGCAGCTTGAATCCTGATCTTAAAGTTGGAAGAATCGCGTAATAGCAGTAGAAGAATACTAAACATAGATGAAGCCCTGTCAGAAAACAATGCATGGTTAGCTGTTTTTTTTTTTTCGTAGTGATTTATAACTTACTTTCGTACTTTAGAACCATGCAGAGAAAAACACTAGTAAGTTATTGAGCGGCATTTCAACCTCATAGATAAATAAATTGATTTCAAACAGGAAAAAGAAACATCGTATCCATGCCAACACAAGATTCAAAACTATACCAATCCATATCTTGCAGTCTTAATGTCTCATTCAGAAATAGGTTGCTCAAAGCATGACAAACATTCCATTGGACCTGTTAGGTGCACAGTAAATTTGGGTCGATAATAATGAGGATACAGTCTCATCCATGCCATTCAAATTAGAAAAGAAAATTCCAGCAAGTTAGGACTGTAAGCATGATACCTTAACATTACCAGTCGTAACACAAGAAATCAATGCCTGAACAACTTGCTCAAGCCAACGTGAATCTCCCAAAGAAGCTGGATGGCATGATATTAACACATCTCTTTGACTTCCTGCCCTGTAATTGCTTGATGGTATTTTGTCAGGTTTAGTGCTCTTTATTGTCGATCCATTATTGTCTAGTGTCCTGTCACTACCGCTTCTATATTTGAATATTTGATAGATCTTGAAAGATTCCCCAGAGCCCTTACAGCATTTGATTTAACCTGATGGAAAGAAGAAAATATTCAGGGCTGTAAGATATACATATATTATTGATGACTAGAAATGAGCAGACAGTCAGTGAAATAAAGCAAAAATAGTTTCGCACAAAACTAGAAGAACCAAAATCATTTCCTATCTATGAATTCTTTACATCCAACCGATATTGATGACTTGGCTTATTAATATACTATTCAATCAACTTATAGAAAGGAAATGACTTGGTTATTAACATATCTACCCTGTCTCCATCCTTGGTCAGACGCAAAGCACACTCAGTTAATAATATGAATAATTTAGAGATTTCGGGATAGCCTATATAGCAAGTGAATAAAAAAGAACAAAAGAAAGAAGATTAGCAGTTTGAAAAGACAATGATACAGTGGAAATACAATTGATATCGCTCTTCTAAATTGTTTCAAGATTGTTTCAAGGAAAAATCATCAATACAATGACGGATAGAATCACAAATGTTCGCCACAGCCCAAGACGAAGTTATTCGCACCTGAAATGAGAACTATATGGATGGTTTTGACTGATTATGAAATAAAATGAAACCAACCTAAAACTAGATAAATAGAAAAATACTGAGACCAGGGGATTGCGTGTGTTAATCTCCACAGCATGAACAAACTCATCAAGGATCTCTGCACTATATAATTTGAGTTCTTAATGAATTTCTGTCCTAGATTCTTGAACAAAGCATAAAATTTACAGAGGATCAAGTCGATAACAGATAATAAGAACTCTTGAGAAATCATTAAATTCCATTCAAAAACATGTCAGGATCACCTTTAAGAAACTTGAGGAAACATTGATATGACTCCAAGGGCTCGACGAGCAGCTGACCTAACTGAAGGCACATCATTTACGGCAGCACGAACCTAAAAAGATTTTGTAGATATAGCTGATAAGAAAAAAGCTTTCTAATTTCTATTCCATTTACATATACAAAGAGGTTAAGGTATAACACCAGTGATTAGTTACAAGAAAACATACACAAGAAGAAAGAATGAAGTCTTGTTTTTCCTTTGAGAATGAGAAGCATACAGAAGAGGTTATGCCAGCAAAACATGTAACCCATGCTGCTCTCACCTTCAAGGAAAAATAAAAGGTTCAGAACAGTACATAAAAAACGCAAAAAGATAAATCTCTACATTTGGTATATGTACCCAACTTGGGAAAAGTCAATTGTTTATATCATTATTAACTAACCACTGCAGAAGTATGGTGCAGAATCAGAGGCATATGCTTCTCAATTGCCTCACACCACTGCTCCGTTCCAGATTGACAGAAGTGGGTTCATCTAGTGTATTTTCTGAGTTCTCTGGTTCATACAATGGCACCGATGAAACTTTCTTCATCCTTATGCAGTCCGAAATAAATGGAGCATCAAGTAATTTATCATCTGAAGGGTCTTCAGTTCCTTTAAATCCTGATATTGCACGTAGACATTCGTCCAAAACCTGATAATTGACATCAACGATCATTATAGATACATATATATATATATATATATATATATGTCTGTAAAGGGAAAAAATCAATTACATGAATATGGCCTAAAAATACCGCTCTGTAAGAAGGTCTCGCTCATTTCTAATGTAAAACAAACTCAAGGAAGAAAAAAGTATTTATTTACTATTTTGGAGAGGAAAAATAGCAGATATTAAAGGATACTTACTTTAATAGTAGCTGTAATGACTTTTTCCCCAATAAATCCGACAAAATTTCCAGTATTTCCCTTCCAAGATCCTGTAGGAACTTCATGAATAGCTGCCCTCAAAACGCCATAAACAATGATGGAAATTTGTTCCCAACAGGAGAACATTATGCTTGGGTAATTGTGGGACACAGCCCTAAGCGCCTACAAGAAATAATATAAGCCTTAGATATAATCACCACATGCTTTTAAGAAAAGAAAAAAGCGCACAGAAGAAAAGACACTAATAGTTAAACCACAAGCATTTCATAACAGTTGATGGCATGCTACATGCTTGTCCAGAAAAGAATCAGCACTGCTGTAAAACCTGATTATCAGAAATCAATTACCTGAAGAGCCTCAATGCATATCGTTGGGTTGCTAACTTTTTCTGAAAATCGAAATAGCGAGAGAACACCTGACTTCTTTGTAGCCTCAACAAAATCTGGAGAAAGTGACAAAAATAGTAGAAGATAAAACAGTGAAGAAAAGCAGGCAATGCAGATATTACTCTTCACCTGCAAATTAAAAGGAGAAAGGGACAACTAACCAGCAGACCAGTGTGATCACTTTTGAATGTAAAGCCATTTTTCATCCTTTCTTGTAGAGATGTAAAAACTGTAACAACTCTCCAGGCATTCTTGAATATCTGTAAAATGATCATTGATAGGATCATAGGAAATATAATTATACAAGATTTTCCTCAAAAATGAGTAGGGAGTAACATCATGCATTGTTCTGTTGTGTATACAAAGTGTTAAAAAAAAAAATGCTATTAAAAAAAGCACGCCACTTTTCCTATCCTCATTGCAATAAATAAAAGAATATTCTTTGGAATCAAGGTTTTACGAATCTCCTACACGAAAGTAAGGGAAGTTGGTAAGGGAAAGATTCAAACTCAAAAAGGTCAATAAAGGCAAATTAAAATGCTACTAAAGCTGTGAGCCAACTTGCCCAATTTCAGAATTGAATTATGAAAAGTACACACTGAATAGTTCTAACTTGAGGTTTTGGAATCTGAATACATCTTAAGAGAAACATACAACGAACAAGTGGTTTAAACACTAAATCACATTTAAACGAAACCAAACAAAAGAAGCAAATCATTAACAATTTCAAAAGTTTGGGGGAGAACACATACAGTGTAGATGATATCAAAAGCATGAGAATCTTGAGCAGGGATGCCATCAATCTACTATGAGTTTCATGTTGAATTAAGTATAAAATACCTACACCATATACATCATAAATATTGTAACATCAGGAGAATAAAAGTTACTTGAACATGTAAAAGTAATAAATAATTGCAGCAAAAGTTTGAATTTGTGCAGCGTAGTGGCTTTCACATAGATGGGAGGTGAGATCCTAGGACAGGGCACATCCTATTCTGTAGCCTATTATTGACATTGAGACGAAAAGGAGAGACTACTAAAAGACAACAAACAACAATGGCAGCTACTCTGACTTTAATAACTTTGACATTAGGAAAAGGATACGAACCAAAAAATTGCAAAACTTACCTGTATACAAACAATGGCAGCTACTCGGACTTTTGATTTCTGAATGTTGTCATTGTCTTTAATTGATCCATCACTGTCACTGTAATCTGAATCTGACAATGCAAACTCATTCGCGGAAGATTCATGATCTGATAAACTTTGCGAACCCCAAGCTTCACTCTGCTTCATATTTGAATTGTCCCTTTGGCGCAGGTGTGGAGGCCTATATGGAGTACTATTGGTCTCTTTAGAATCTTCCAAACCCAGCTTAAGGCTTGCTAAACTAGGTTCCTTTTCTTTTTGACCAATTACTGAACAGGTATGCTGAGGTCTACTATTAATGCCATAGGAAAAGAACATTTGTAGAGCAGCCACAAAACTTGATGCCTGAAAAGGTAATCAAATCCAGAAGGTGTGAAATATGATGGTTGAAGATACAACTCTATAAGAAATTCAGAATCAGACTATCAGTTGATTATTTATAATTGCAATATACAAACGCATCAACTTACATGGTCAGATAGGTAACACTTACAATCTGCGAGAGTCAAATGCAGACAATGCAGAAGAGATAAATTAAACCTGCAAAAGCACAAGTTGCGTACCGTTGGCAATAATATATAAAGGTGACAAATTCATTTATAATATGCCAAAGCAAGCATAGTAGAGATTGTTGGAATACCTGGACATAAAAGCGTCTTCCATAAGCTGGCTTTTAGCTACCAAGCCATCCATCACCTTCCTAAAAACCTAGTTCATAGCAAAACCTTATCAGCATCACATATATATATATACACACAGAGAGAGAACTACAAGCTAAAAATAAAGTATCGTGACCTCAATCGTTGATCTCCAGATGTCCAATGGAAAGGATGAGCCAACTCGGGAGATTGCCTCTCCAACCATAGTAAATGCAAGTGTCTGAATTTCCCATAAGCTTCCATATCGAGGCACTGGCATTCTCTTCCCAACTTCAAGAACCGAGCTTTGGTTGAGAATCAAGTTCAAAAAGCTGCTCAACTCTGCGTGAGAGCTCTCAATGATTCGCAGCAGGAACTTCACCAGCAGAACCTCCTCCGCCATCGAGCATTTCCTCTGATACGTGCTCATAACACGCCTAAAGATAACGAATTTTACAAATTACAATCGAATTCGCAAGCAGAACGCGTTTTCCAAAAATCGAACCGAAAACCAGATGAGCTTGAGCTTACCCTAGAGTCTGTAGAGCTTCCATAACCGGCGTGAACGACGAAGAGCCGATGAAATAGCGCAGCATTTTGTTGAAGAAGTCGATGAGGAGAGTCCACGAAGCTGAATTCATTACGAGAGAAATGCGATGGGAGATGTCATGGATCTGAATCAAACGACTAAAATTTTCAAAATTTTCAGAGAAAACGAAGAAGCAGAGGAGCAAAGGCAAATTCTCAGTAGTATACATACCAAGTGAGTTATGTGAGTGAAGGTCGGAGTAAGGTCTTCTCCGCCGTGAGGCTTCGCGGTGACGAGCTCCATGACGAAGAGCAAATCGGAGGTGACTTCCTGAGGAGGGAGGTCGGGCGCGGGGGAGAGGAGAGTATGGGAATGGGAGAAGATGGAATGATGGAGGCGTTCGGGGATTGGAGTGCGTAGAGGAGTTGTTAGGGTTTCGTCCCTCACTGTTAGAAACGCCGTCCTCCACCACCGTACTGGTGATGACGACGGTGATGATGCCGCTGCCGCCATTTCGAGGTTGGCTTCTCAGTCCTTCCAATTCCAACCCACTTCAGTTGTTGTATCGGGCATTGTGCAAACTGATTCAGTTGAACAAGAGAGACCGGTGCATTGGGCTTAAAAATTGGGTCACAGGCCCATTTAAGATTTTTATGTGTGGGCTTAAAATAGGCCTATTCTCTTAAAGAAAGTTAGCAGTTTCACTTTCCTTTCCACTAAAAAAAAAAGAGAAATTCTCGAGTTCGGCCACTTTGACCATGCCAGTCGTTTGGTACTCTTTACAAAAGCAAGAGGATCTCTTGTATTTGGTCCTGCTGAAACTCATATTTTTCCTCATTACTTTGAGTCTATTGTCATATAACAGCATTGTACACAAGAATTTCTATCCTAATTCCTTCATTTTTCACCTAAGAGTTCCCTATTTCACAACACGAAAACCATTTTCCTATCCTAATATTATCTTATTGGACTCACTATATATTGTTATGAGAATTATCTCAATTAATGACTTATAATTTCTCGGTCTAACAATATAACATGCTAGAGTATCTATCAATAAACTAATACCCATCACGATCTTAGGTCATAACCATCTAACTACCTGGTGGCCACGGCATTGTAACTAAAGATCTACGATTGCATTTGTACGGTTGATGAGTCCCTTTCGTATCAAAATCTGAGCACCGTGTTCATCTTGGTTCAAAAGCCAAATCCCAACACATGCATAAATACAGAAAAAGACACAAAAATATATGCAAATGGAAGGCAGCTGAGTCATACTTTGCCCACCCAAATAATTACGAGGAATTCTTGGGTAGGATTTGCCCTCCTCACACTAGTGGGATAATCATCGAAATACGTATATTATAATCAGGGGCAGACCGACTTAGGACCAAGGGGTCAGTTGACCTTTTGAACTCTGGTGAATTTTCATGGGTGATTTGGATACCGCCCATTTGAAGGTTGGAGTTGCCCTTCATATATGCCCCTCCAACTGCTTGATAAAATGCGTTAGAGAGGTGCTGCTCTTTTATAGCCTAGTCCTAATATTATTTACCTTTGGCTTGTTTGTTAGTTGTGATTACAATTGTAGAAAAAAAGAAAAAAAAACTAAGTAAAAGACTATCCAAAAATGCAAAGTAAATGAAATGGTAATCTCAGAGAATGAACAAAACATCGACATTTTTGGACAAAAATATTAATGGGATGCAATGATATCAATCAATTTGTGTATTCCTTTGTCAAGCATTCATATAGGAGTAGTCTTAGAACATGTTAGTTACCCAAGCAAATGAGGTATGAACAGGTGTGTAGTATGCCTTTTCAAATGACTTCAAGCCTATCAAGACTAGATGAAATGGCGATATTTATGTTAAAAAAAAATTTGCGATCTATGAACACTATTTTACTGACCCCCCTAATAATATTTCTTGGATCTGCCACTGTATATAATATACATATATTTTACGTACATGTGTGTGTGTATATATATACACACTACATAATATTTTCATTTTTTGTACACTTTATTTCAAAATGGTACGTGTGTTATACACTTGTGTATATACTTTTCAAGTTTTTGAGGTGACTTGAAAAATATGTACACGAGTGTATAATATGCAATTATCTTCAAGTTGAATGCATGTATTTTCGCATATTGATTAATATTACATATAAAATTCATGTATTATACAAATATTACAGCATGTCTTTTTTTTTTTTTGGAACAATATAGCATGTCATTTAAGCACGAAGAAAATAATTTTTTTTTTTGTAAAAAAAACTTTTAACATTTTAAATAATGGGCAAACTCCGTACTTGTTTAAGCAAACTGTATAATAATATAGGAACGTACTTTTACGTGCTATACACGCATCGTCTTGTGCTAACTATGAACCATCATTTTCGCCAATTAGGATAGAGTATTTGGTGCAACTGCCACACTACAGTAATAGACACCGTGTGAAGATCATAGGTCAGTGGACGGGGTAAACGAATTATATGAAGGGGGTGGTTTTTTAATATGTGCGGTAAACGGATCACGTGACCTAGACACTCGCCAGCCAGATAGGCTGTGTCACACATGAGCACTATCTGCATGTCTATTTCCTGCCATCACATAAAAAAACGAAAAATTGATGCCCTAGCATGTACAGAAATGGGCTAAGCTGAAACTGAAAGCAGCCTCAACCAAACACATTGAATGTTGTCCCAGTCTCCTTATTAATTCTGCTCTGAAGTTACCTTCGAAGCAGGCAACCTCGCTAAAATAATTCTCAGTTGGCTTTGTTTTCTTTTGTTTTGTGTGTTTTATTAGTTGGTTTTGCAGGTTGGTGATGAAGAAAGTTCAAGGTGTGTGTGGTCTACTTGGAAAGCTACCCGACTGTGTGGGTCCAAATAAGCCGCCGTCCTTCCAAGCCCATACATAAACTCATTTACTCTTTGTCGCCCTAGTGTACACTTGATTTCGAATTACCTCCCTATAAACTAGAGTAATTCAGATTATCATCTTGACAAAAACCTCCTGCTACAATAAAATAGTTTTTACTCTTTTTGGGTATGTTGGATCTTCATCGTATGTCTAATGCATTCTAGTGTTGGCTTGCTAACAAATAATGAGGTATGTTACAGTTAGTCGTTTGCGTGCATGTGACTGATTTAGAGAGCATTAATGACTGATTTTAGAGAGCTAATGCATGAAAACGTTACATTTCTCCTGTACTTAGCAAGGCAACTCCTGTACTTGGCAAGGCAACTCATGCATTACTTGTCCATCATGACTAGAAAAAATGATCATTTATATCAACAGTTAGAAATTATCTATGAACGTAGCAAACATTAATAAAATTTGCGCAGGCTTAGACTGTCGTGACTAGTGTACATCAAAGTTTATAAAGCTCTTATTTTGGTGCTACATTGAAGCATTTTATGGATGTAATATAACAAAATAATTCTAGTTAGACCAATTTTTTTAGACAATATTTACAAATCATGCAATGTGTCACATCACCAATAAGAAATACGTAAGTTAATCAGAACTTAACTAGTAATTCAATAATCCACAACCACGTCGTATGATTTACAAAATATGCTTTAAAAATATAATCTCTCTCCCATTGCCCATTATAAAATAATAGATGTTGCCTTCAGAAATAAAGTGACTCGACATCTAATCTTTTGAATAACAAGCATCCAAGGAATCAAAGATGAGATGGGGTTACAGAAAAGTCGACGTCTCTTGAAATTATATGGAGGCATCTCTCTGTGCCCTAATACCACCAAAACAAACACTCAGTTGTTTCTGTTTGTTGACAAGCTGAAGCTCCGCCTTTATCAGCTTATCCACTGCTTTTGCTTTTCATTTTTCATAACAAAAAAGCCACATGGGGTCCGGTAGTACTCGACCATTGCACGCAGCTGCAACCGAAAAAGACTAAAAGCACACAGATTAGTTTACTGAAGCGCAGTAATTTTTAGGCAATGGATATTACTGTGATATGATTGTCTTATGCATAATACACCCACCATGATCTCCACCTTATCATAATCATTACTCTTAGTTATTTTTCTTAATCTCTCGTCGGATGATTTCACGTGATTAATACGATAAGGTTTGCAGACACAAGAAGAAATATGTACATGAAGCTCAATGGGAAAATTGCATCATCTTTTTTTTGTCAAACGATACAAATGTTGGATTATGTATTAGATTAGGGTGCTAAAGGTGTTTGAACATACGTTGTGGTGTAAGAGCAACACTTTTCTCCACTACTATAGTAGATGGCTAGTTGAAGGAAATTGCATCATCACCATGGTTATATCATCATGTACAGAGCGGGCCCTGAGGGTGTGCAAAATGTACCACCACACAGGACCCCTGATTCGGAAGGACTTCCAAATTTTCTTTACATGTAAAGATACATATTATATACTTAATTGTGCAAGATAATAATAATTACCATACCAACGCTAGTGGTATAGGCCTTCAATTTTCTTGTACATGGCTTGGGTTTGAGTCCTTGTGGAACTATTTTGCTATTTTTAAGTTTTGCAAATTTATCAACTTAAAAAGTTGATAAGTTTTACACAAAAATCATGCAACATATTTCGAACTGAAGACCTTTCAAGACAGGAAAGGCTCTTGTCCATTCAAAGTTGTGCTCTAATTTATAGTATTTAAATTTTATAGATACAAATTGAAAAAAATAAAATAAAGAAAATACAATATTAAAAAACATAAAAGGCCTCTATCTAAATTTAGCACAGAGCCCCTAAATTTCCAGGGCTACCCCTGATCATATACAAAAGCAAACCCTAAAATTGATGACTTGAGTTAGAAGGATATGGATTTGAGATATACATGAAAGCTCAATGGGGTTAGTTGGGAATTAATTAGTTCAAATATTCATTTGTAGATAACTTCCAAAGGTCCATGTAATTTGAATCATTTGATTTATTTTACTTTTGTTTAGTTTATATAAATAGAAAAAGGTTAGCCTTATTATAATTTAAAAAGTATCCAAATAGGAGAAAGAAGTGGGTGACAAAATTGGATAATTTGCGAGGTCATGAAACTCATTATTTGGTGATGAGAAATCAGATCTTAAATAACACTCACCCTACCCCTCCACGAGCCACTCCAACGCCACTATTCCCCTCAAGTATATCCACTTATCTTAGCGGACAATGTTATATTTTTACACGCGCATATGTTTTAAGTTCGAAACTCTCCTAATTATTTTTTTTTAAAACGATATTATCCACATTAAATGGAAAACGAATGGGCTATCAATAATTTGTTTCAAATTCTCTTTTGATGAGAATCAAACTTAAGACCTCTCACTTACAAGTGAAGAGAAATACGACTAGACCGTAGTATTAAGTGACCAAAACTCTCCTTACTTTAAATTGTAATAATTTCAAACCCTCTCTTTTCCTCTCCTTAATTAATAATAAACTAATAAAAAAATTCAAAACATTTTAAGAATCAACTATAAACCGATTATTTGCAGTGGTGTTACTAAAACTAATTAAAGTCTAAAATCTATTTCATTTTGGATGGTGCTATTTACACACTATTTTTATACTTCTCATATTTTCAATCGTTCAATTGAATGAATTGAAATATATCAAAAACAAAAAATTAATAAGAAGTAAAAAATGTGTGTGAATAACATCACCCTTCACTTTTTTGGAAATGTTGTCTCTTTGTAAATATAAGGGCATAACCTTTAATTCTCATGCTTTATTATAGGAAACTCTTATTGATGCTTTAAAAATTTAATTGTGCACTCTTTATAAAAATATTTTTATCTATAAATATACAAAGTTTGGAGTGCACAATTGAATTTTTAGAATGTTAGTAACAATTCCTTTATTATAAAGTTAAAGCCATGTCTATGTTCACCCAATATAACACAGTAATATGAATAGTTTCCAAAAGTATCACCTCCATTTTATGACATAGCTAAACATTAAAAGGTGGAAGTGATTTTTGTATATCATTTCTCCCTCAACTCCTCTCTTTATTTCTCAATTTTGATTATTCTTTAATTTATTTAATTCAAATGTAAAATATAAAATAAGTGTAGAATTCGACCCCTTTTCTTTACACAAGCGAAATCGTGTTTTCATATAAAATCAAATATTTTATGGAATCAAAAGTCAATTCTCTTCTTCCACAATAATGGGTCGAATTCTAAACATATATGTAATGTAAGTGTAGCTATGTTGGCTAAAATAGTGTTCTTGTCACATTCCGGTCCGGGTGGGACCACTTCCCGGGCCTGCTCCACCATCATAGCATGATATTATCCGCTTTGGGCCCCAACCACGCCCTCACGGTTTTGTTTCTGGGAACTTACATGAGAACTTCCCGATGGGTCACCTATCCTGGGAATGCTCTCGCGCGCTTCTTGCTTAACTTCGGAGTTCCTATGGAACCCGAAGCCAGTGAGCTCCCAAAATGCCTCGTGCTAGGTAGGGATAGGAATATACATATAAGGATTACTCCCTTGGATGATGTGGGATCTTACAGTTCTCCCTCTCCGCATTCAAGTGATAATTCTCCTTTCAATAGTGTAAATTAGATTAAAAATTTAGAATACTACTTGAATCGATAATAGAAGTCTAATTCCAAAACCCTTTCCTTCCTTTATTCAAGAATATATTTCATTCCTTTCAACCATCAACTATTATTCTTCAAGACTTCAACCACATTTATTAGCTACAAGTGGCCCTCTACCACAATGGTAGAGAGAAGTGTCGCACTTGCATCATAGCATGAGTTCGAATCCCATTAGCGCTCTAATCTAACAAATCTATCATTTGGCAAAAAAAGAAAAAAAAAACCATATTTACCAGCTAAATAATAAATTCTCCTTCCACGAGTTTGTCATTTTTCTTAATTTTCTGTTGGTTTTATAGTTTTATAGTGGAATATATCATTCAACTTCAACCATCTGCAACTCGTAAACCAAATGCGTGCAGGAACTAAGGAACGAAAGAGTTGACCAATATCATGTATTTGGAACAAGAATCATTCCACTCCTTCTAACGCACTCGCAAATTGTAATTAAATCAAAGAATTATGCAACACCAAGCATATTGGTAGCTTAATTTGTGTAATATTCTCACAAGTAAAATGTCAACAACCAAGTAAAGATAAACACAGTATATCCGATAATCCAAAGATACTAACAACTGTCTCAGTTGAGAAATGGTAATTTAGAAATCACCAAAAAATTAAAAAAAAAAAGTTTAGACTCTTGTTCTTCATTGGATATAAGAAGGCTTAAAAAATAAATTTTGAATACGCATAATCACTTAAACCTCTTAAATAATGACCTAGTTTTGTGCATGTGAAAAAGCTCAGAACTAAAACATAAGAATTTACAACTTTTGAATGAAGCTTGATGGACAAATTAGTGTGACCGCCTCCTTACATCTGTTACAGCCTATTTCAATTTGTGTAGGTTAATAGTGTGTGGAGTCTCTGAAGCTCCGAGAAGAAGGTAGTAAGAATCGTATGCCCCACACATGTGAGGTTTTCTAAATAATGACAAATATTTATCTCATAAAATTCCAACCATACCATAAATAATAATGTAAAAACCCACACTACACGTATGCATTTCTTGCTTCCCTTCCCTGCCTTAACACTCTTTAGAACCTATAAATCTTCCTAATCTCCACCCTCACGCAATCCCTCTCTCCCTCTCTCTCCGCTGAGAGACCATCAGCAGCAGCGGAGGAATTACTAATTAAAAGGGCATATATAAATGAGACCACCGCCAACAGTGAGGCTGTCGGCGGGGGAGGTAGTCGAGTTTGGCCTTATCCACTTCTCTCCACCGCTGCCTTCCCCTCCAACAGGGCCAACGACATGCGTTTCCCACACCTGCCGCTGGTGGCCTTACTCAGGCTCAAAAGAATTCGAGGCCAATGCCGCCATGATCATCATCGTCCTCCTCTCTGCTCTCATTTCCGCGTTGGGTCTCAACGCCGCCATCCGCTGCTTCCTCCGCGGCGGTAGAGGCAACCCTTCTGATCGTGAGAATAACAGTGTTCCTCAGAGTCGGCAGGAGTTGGTTGATGTTCAGCACAAGAGCAATGTGGCAACGGCCTCGTGCTTAGAGGCGGCACCTACGGTGATTTACACGGCGGAGATGAAAGCGAAGCTGGCAGGGGTGGAGGCGGAGTGCGCCATTTGCTTGTCGGAGTTCGTGGAGGGGGAAGGGATTAGAGTTTTGCGGAGGTGTAAACATGGGTTTCATGCTCAGTGTATTCAAAAATGGTTGTCTTCTCACTCCTCTTGTCCCACATGCCGCCGCACGTGCCTTCCTCAGTCTCCATCCCAATCCCCAGCACCACCACAACCCTCGGCGGACCATAATCCCGTGACGGAGAGTAGTCCGTAGCGGCCCTGCTGTTACCGAGTTCGCCCTTGTACACATGTATGTAAAATGCAACTAGTTTGAAGTTCTTTTCCGCTTCTTTAAATGGTGCCGTAAACTTAATTAGTTAATTTAATGTGGTGTTGGGCAAAAGTTACCAATCGTGATCCCGTAACTACCATCTTAAACGCGCACAAATGACACCAAATAAGTTTTGGTCCTTTGAATATTACTTTTTAAAGGTCTGTAGCGTATCAGATGTGTTCATGTGCCCAATGGGAAAATTTCAGGTTACGAACTTTAGCTTGATCGAAAATTGCTCCCGTTTTCAACACATACGCTCCTCCCATTCTTTCTTGTCTCTTTATTTTCGTTTAATTTATTTAATCAATGCGAGTAAAAAGAAATGAAAGTGCGAAAGTTACTTTTGACAAATCAATTCAAAATTTTAAACCAGCATATATGGAAACCCCTGCGTTTTTTCTACCTTTTGGTCTCAGCTGTAAAAATAACCTTCCAAATTCGTACGACTTCACCGAAAATGCATCTGGCTTTTCGTATACCAGCCGACTGCTTAATGCCAATGCAAAATATGACAACAGATGGAAAGCCCAGAGTATGTGACTCTATAGCTTATCTGATCGATTGATAACGTTTCTCCTACCAGCCGTTTCGAACCGGAAAGCGGAAAGTCACTTTCCGGAAACGTACTTCGATTCCCAAGGAAGGTCCCAAGCTCGTGTTCCCCCTCCTCCGTGTGTTCCCCCTCCTCCGTCGACAGAATCGGAAAGTGAACAGATACTTGCAACGTATGTGGGGGTGGTTTTGGTATGGTTACCGTACCAAAACCCCTCGTACCAAATATCATACCAAACTTTTAGTATGATAAAATCTATTACCATTATCATTCCAAACTTTCGGTATTCCGAATTTTGACATGCCAAATAATTAGTTGGCTTGGTATGATAATGGGCCAAAATTAAATTTTTTTTTTTCAACCGAAGTCAAGGCCCAAACGTCTATTTTTTCTATTTTTATGACTTTTATCTCTCATATTGTGACCTAAATTAGAAAACCCAAATAGAATTCCTGCAATAAGAAACCCCATGCAGCAAGCGCAGGCAAGCACACCAACACCAACACCAATCCCTGTAGAGAATGTGAGAAAGTGTCGAAGAGAAACCGAGAAAGTGTCGGAAGAATGAGAGGCAATGACGAGGTTTTTCCTAAATATTATTAAAATATTATATATATATATATATAAATTATATAATATGTAATTTATATTTTTTGGTACGGTACGGTAATATCATTGGTAATGGTAGCGAAAACCAATATTGTACAAAAAAATCTTTATTTTATACAATACTATACCATTACCAATTGGTACAAAATGGGTATATTACAATTGACAATTCAGTTGACATGGTAATTTGAAAATAAATTCCACCCCTAAACGTATGTTTGCTAAATCCGAACTTTTGGACCGCCTTATGGTGCACAATACAAGTGCTAGGGGAGGCAAGCCACGGTGGTTATGCCGCAACCATGCAGGTGTTAAGGGAGAACAAAACGGAATTTAAGCAGTTTTTTTGTTGCTCTTCCCGGCAAACAAAAGGAAGATATTGTAAATTAACAAGCCAAAAACAACGTCATTAACAATTTAATTAATATGTAATATTCTATTTCAACAAGCTCAGAAAGCCACACAAACAATGTGCACAAAAACAGCACAACTGCATATACCGATCCGATTTAAGAACTATTGCTTTTGCTATATCATAGGTAACGCAAACTAAGAGCGGTGACAAAAGAGATGACAAACTGACCAAGCTCACACCATTAACACTATCTGACAATCCGAAAACACACAATTCCACGGGGGAAGAAGACGACGATATTATCACATGATTCACATGTCTAGAAGCACTTCCTGTGGACGATGGAGGGACCTGATTCGTCGTACTCCGACTTAGAAATCCACATCTGCATTTAAGAAAAACGAGACCCCGAGATTACAATCGCAGAACCATACTTCCTAAACAAATAAGTTATAAGAAAAGAAATTGTGGGAAATGTCGAGTCAGTCATATGATTCCAAGTTCCAAAGCATAGTAAACAAACGACGATAGTAAACCTATGTTATACATCTACAATCAGAAGGTACTAAACTTTTGTGTTGGTTTTAAAAGGGTGCAACTCATATGTTGATATCGTACTTGATAAAATCAAAGCCAATTTTTAATTCCTTCACTTACAAATTCGTTCCTCAAGAATATCGCAAGGGATTTTGCACGTTTGTTTTTTTAGTTAAACTCCTTAAAATTTTCATGGTAAATATGAATTCAATATGCATATCTCTTCTATGATCAGTAAATACGAAGTGAAATCAAATACAAGCTACCACCGTAGGACAAGCAGTATAAACCTTACCTGCTGGAAGGTGCTCAGTGAAGCTAATATGGATCCTCCAATCCAAACACTATACTTTCTCTCTGGAGGTGCAACCACCTTAATTTTCATGCTACTTGGTGCGAGGGCTGTGATCTCCTTGCTCATTCGATCAGCAATTCCTGGGAACATAGTGGACCCTCCACTGAGGACGATGTTGCCATACAAGTCCTTTCTGATGTCAACATCACACTTCATAATAGAGTTATAGGTGGTCTCGTGAATCCCAGGCGATTCCATTCCAATGAATGATGGTTGAAATAGGACCTCAGGGCAACGGAAACGCTCTGCCCCAATGGTAATTACCTGGCCATCAGGTAGCTCATAACTCTTCTCAATTGATGAGCTGCTTTTAGCAGTTTCAAGTTCCTGTTCATAATCAAGTGCCACATAGGCAAGCTTCTCCTTAATGTCACGCACAATTTCCCGTTCAGCAGTTGTAGTAAAAGTATACCCTCTCTCAGTCAGGATCTTCATTAAGGAATCTGTTAAGTCTCGTCCAGCAAGGTCAAGCCGGAGGATGGCATGTGGAAGTGCATAACCCTCGTAGATGGGAACAGTATGACTGACTCCATCACCAGAGTCCAGCACAATACCTGTAAAACATTTGTTGTTAAAGAGGTAACGAACTTTCAAGATTTTGAAACTTAATTCCAACTTTCTTTGTTTGTTTGCACATGGTAAAGAAATATAACAAAATAAATAGATAGATCACCCTCAATTTTTCGTATTGGTACAAACCTGTAGTACGCCCACTAGCATAGAGTGAGAGAACTGCTTGAATGGCAACATACATAGCAGGGACATTGAAGGTCTCAAACATGATCTGAGTCATCTTTTCCCTGTTGGCCTTAGGATTCAGAGGCGCTTCAGTAAGAAGCACAGGGTGTTCTTCAGGAGCGACACGAAGCTCATTGTAGAAAGTATGATGCCAAATCTTTTCCATGTCATCCCAATTGCTAACAATCCCGTGTTCAATGGGGTATTTTAATGTGAGAATACCTCTTTTCGACTGGGCCTCATCCCCAACATAGGCATCCTTCTGTCCCATCCCCACCATAACACCTGTGTGTCTAGGACGACCAACAATACTGGGGAAAACAGCCCTCGGAGCATCATCTCCAGCAAATCCAGCCTGTTGAATGAAGTCATGACGATAGTTATATACCAAGGGAATACGTGTACATCAAGACAGCTCCTCATACACTACCAGGCAAAATGAAACAAATCCCTTACCTTAACCATTCCAGTACCATTATCACAGACAAGAGGTTGAATGTCTTCTGTATCTGCCATTCTTTATGGTGATGCTGCAAAGAAATCACGGCAATCCATCAGTAACCTAAGAATCATAACAGAACTCAATAGTCACAAATGAATCTCTATAGCTAAGGTAACCACATTGGCTTCCTGATGACAGAAACAGATAGATAGATAGTTAGTAGTATTGAAAGCGGTTGTAACTTGTATTCACATTCAGTTTAGGATTAAGTAATTGAGGGAGTAACTATGATGGGAGAGTTCATCTATAATACGCGTAACATATTCATTGAATGAACGAAATAATCAGTTCTTGGTTTTTACATCAGAACACTCTGTTTTGGTCTTGTAAGTTGGATTGTGTACCTTATGACATAATTAACAAGCTTGGATTAACGGAGATAGCGATATTCCACAAACTTGAACAAAATAAAGGTCATATCAGCGACCCATTACAATCCTGGATTAAGTACTAAGCATTGGACAACCGATGATTGAAAACACACGAGAAAAGTGAAAACCCACCGCTTATAAAACGTAATCCTCTATTTCACATTAAGATCAACAAAACAGGCAAAAACCAATTAAGCATAATCTCTAGTTCTTTGTAGGAATTACATCCAAAACCGAAGGCAACCTAAGTACTTTGTACCCAAATATGATATTTGTCATGCTTGACGCTAGTGATGGGTTGATCCCATCAAAATTCAGATGCAAATCAGATTAAATCACTAATAAATACATATCAAAATTTAGTCATACTCTCAACCAGTGACTCACTAATCAACACTATCAGCAACCATAACAACAAATCAAATAAACTAAATTCACAACAGCAAATCGAAAGCAGGGAACGAAGAAGAAATCACTTCCAACTTACAAAAACTTAGCAATCAATTCACAGAGGAAAAAATAGCAGATCAATTCAAGAGAAATAAAAAAAAGAGAAGGTTTCTTGGTAGGTGGTAGCAGCAGAGAGGCAAAGAGCTTAAGAAGCACGCATACCTTCGGGGGAGTCTAACTGAGAATTCGAGCAGGCGGCAAAAAGGAGTGGGTGGCTGGCCGGCCAGACGAAATGATGGAAAACGAAATGAAGGAAGGTCGGTTGATTCTGCTTAAAGATCGGACAATTAAAAGCTTGTAATAATAATAAAAGCGAGGAATATTTCTGCCAACCTCTGTGGAAAGTGTGGACTGCGGAACTTTCCAGAATGTATTTCTACATAAATTTTGAGATAAAATTGAAAAATAAATATTTAAAAAGGAAAAGGAAAGAAAAGAAAAGGAAACAGCTGGAATTTTGATTGATGTCTCTCTTTGTGATAAAGGGCGGGGTGACACCAATGCAAAAGGTCACCTTATTATTGGCACCAAAATTCAGAAAATACGAAGGGATTAATTGAAAGTACTTTTATAATGTCTGAAAGTATTTTTATAGAGAA